ATATGTAAATATCTATTTTTGATATAATCCCGCTTCGTTCGGGCTTCTTTCAGTTTTTCTGTGGTTCTTTTTTTTCCTCGCTTGAAAGAGCGGGAGGGAGGAGGGGACAGCTTGGACTTGGCAAGAAAGCCAGGCCAAACTGATACAGCATGATCAGAGTCCTGGTTCCTATTGCTAGACTGTGTGTTGCCTGTGAGTGCCACTGAACTGCAATACTCACATGTGTGCCAGGAAAGTATGTTGGGGGTATGAACAAGTAACTCTCAGTGAAATTTAAGATCATCATTTAGACCATATTAACATGGAATTCCAAAGTACCTGAAACATTGTCTGATCGAGAGCTCTCAGGCACCCCACAGGCACTGTGAGTGGAGGCACTGGGAAAGGCAGTTGGAAAGTAGTTGTCCATTTAGTTACTGTTAGGGGACTGAGGTTAAGCATCCTTTGTGTCATGTTAGGAAACAGAATAACTCAAGTATAGACATTAACTAATCCATTTCACCTGTAGAGTCTAGCTGGTGTCAGGGCCACTGCTACTGTGTTATGATTTTGCATTCTGGCACCCTGGTAGTAAGCACAGGTGTGGGGGGGTAAAAGACCTCTAAGAGGCTTTCCTGTTTCACCAGGACTGATGTGAAGAGAAAGACTCCAACAAGACGTGTGCTTGTTTAGACTTCCATCTGGAGCTATAATTTAAGCATAATTTAAGTGGTGCCCTTCCTATTAGCTCTTCTAAAGCATAGCCTTATCGATCCTCTTTCAGAACCACACATCTCTAAGCAAGGGATTTATGTGACTGCCAAACCACAGGGCACCAGCCACCACTTTTGTGCTCATGAAACTTCAGCAAATTAAGTACACTCCATGAGTAAGCACAAGAGAGGGTTTCCAACCGGTCTGTGTTCTTGAGAGCTTTACCCTTCTACGTCCCAACTGGTCTGTGTTCTTGAGAGCTTTACCCTTCTACGTCTTTCTTTATGCAGATAAATGTTGCAACTGCATTTTAAGTCTATATAATTTGGTGGTACCCCTTTAACTGGTTAGGGAACTTTAAATACCAGCTATACTTTTATCTAACACATTGATTATATTTTCAAGTGAGTCGTGATATTTGCTATCCCAATACAAAATATTTTTGCCTTTGACATTAGCTAGGATCACGCTTTTTATGTTTTTGCCTTTCTCTGAATATAAATTTTATATTAATTTCTTAATTCTGTGTTTATGTATTTTATTGAATTTTTGAAGATTGGATTAGTTTTCAGCATCTGATTTGTTGCAGTGACTTTGGGCTGGCTGCCCAACTTAACCATGGCTGATACCCTTGGATGATGGCCTGATCGTTAATTATTTCTCTGCTGAAACTGCACTACAACAAAACAAATTTTGTTATAATGGCATTAAGCAAAGACCACAGAAACCTGCCCAGCATTATAAATTTCTTCTTGGCAGCTGTTTTATGCTTTTTCATCACGTCACCTAAATCAAGAATGAGATATTATTTAATATTTTATCAGCTCATGAATAAACAGGCCTTCTATTTTCCTTGATGTAAATTTAACAACATCAGCATTGAAGTAATTATCAAATCACACTCATTATGCTGCAATCTTTATAAATTCAATCTCCCAAAAAAGTCAACATATTTAAGCACAAAAAGATTGAATCATACTGGGCTAAGTTAGTTACGAATCCTAGTTTTCTGGGTATAACAGTTCTTACTTCATAAGACAATATGTAAAAAGGCTTTCATACAATACTCATTACTCATCCTTACAAATGCAGCAATTTTTAGCCAAAACTGTTTGTAAACGAGTTGAGACTGGAATGAAAGACCTTGAGGTGAAAGTGGGTAGCAAGAGGAAAATATGTCTCATTAAGAATGAACACCCCATAGGTTCACTGTTAGCACAACTGAAGTGCCAACAACATGTATTTCAGTTGCTTATATCACAATCATACAATTATGCTAATATATGATAATGTCACTGCCCTTAAAAATATTGCTTTCCTCTACTAATTTAGGAAGGAGATCAATTATGAAGTCATGTGGTTCGGTCTTCCTGTTGGTGATGTTACTTTGTTGTTAAGAAACAGAAAAAGGATTAATTCCTTTCTACTTCCACCATTCCAAAAGTCTGCTCCCTCACAGCAGCCCCTTTCCCTTTAAGCTATATTCATGTGGAAAATAAAACACAAATTTTTTCTAGCAGAATGTTTTTAAAGAAATAACTGCAGAGGTGATTTACCACTGAGAATGTAAACAGAGTTGGAGACAGTCAGCTATATCCTATCCTTTGCTACATTAATCCAATTCCATTTTAGCTAAGGGCAGCCTGATGTTCATTATCCTTCAAAAAGGTAACTCTTGCTTGCCAAATATATACTTTTCCAGTTATCATCCTTCTAAATAGTTCTTCATTGTTTTCTGCTGCAGAGTGTATTTTCATAAGAATAATTCTTTTATAACTTCATCATTGGTTTGAAACATCTCACTGCAATTTAATGATGAAGAATAAAAGGAGCAACAGGGTAATACAGTAATGGTACATGTCTTTGGCTATTTAAAATCAATTTTTTTTCTCAATTATAGACCAGTCAAGTCAGTGGATTTTATAAATTAGAACTCAAAAAGGCCATCAAGATAGGTAATGGAGTAAGTTTGACTTTTTGCATTCTTGTTTTAAGTAAGGATTTTATTACCCATCCCTGCACAACCTACAGCCTATCTTTTTCCTTTGCAATTACCCAAGCAGGCTTGACTGGCACTCTCAAATTTTAATTCCATTCCAGAGCAGAAACATTGTTTTGCACATCGTTTTGTGCAGCACGCACAACTGAGTTGCCAGGTGTGAGACTTTCCAGCTACTTTGGAGTATAGCCTGGTATCAAACCTGCAGCCAAAGCTTCATTGTGCTCGATGCTGTACAGAGAGGGAAGACCATAAACTTACAACCAAAGCAAGTGCCAAAGGGACCAAAGTTCAAAGTGTGAAATAGGAAGGAGTGAGGGAGAAAGGAAGGTATTCAACAGTCACACCAGACAGACCAGTTCCCTTTCATGAGGTTGCATTACCTACCTAAAAATGTCATGGAAGATTGTCACTAGTACTTTTCTGATGTCAAAAGGAAAAATATTAACAATATTATACCACTTAAATCCCAATCCATCCCTCAAGGGGCTGTGCTTGTTACAAAATCACTTGTAAGAGCTAGAATTGCTTAGCTCCTTCATGTACATAGCCCTGGCAAAGAACATATACTACTGTTTGGCCTAATAATGACATTGAGATACTCTAAGCACCTGGAGTTATAAATGTTCCTATTTCATTCAGCAAATTCTACTTTCTTCTAAAATTTAACAGAGGTAAAAATATGGCTTAATGGAGGTAAAAACAGAGCAAAGAATACTGATGCTCATACCATCAGAGAACCATTTTCCCTGACTGATGCTCTTCAGTGATGAGTTATCAAAATATTTCTACCTGATTTCCATTATTGTTTGTGTATTAGTTTGACTTTGTGGGCCCACTCCAAAATATCCATTCCTGTCTCCCTGTTTCTAATTCTTTCTTTAGGAGCTGTTCTTCTCTAACTTTTGTAACACTTTATTACTAGAGTAGCAAGGAAATATACAAGTATATAAACAACAGCCTGTCTTCATCCTTTCATCCAAATTACATCAAGAGGCTAATCTGTGGAAAGAACTAATGATCCAATCAGCATAAGAATATATTAAAAATTGGAATTCTAATAGATAATTTCTAGAAGCAGATTTATTCTGTACTTACACATTTGGAGAAATTGGATATTTTTACATGATTGCTTTTCCTGTTGCTTTAGTCTCTGGTAATGATTCCTTTAGCATTTAAGTTCCTAGTTGCATTCAATAGAAATGGGTTTGAATGAATGTTGCTTGAGAGAGTAGCCTTCAATGAGGAAGGCAGGACGGTGGCAGTGAGGAAAAATAGGATGCTACAAATAGATACCAAGGGACTGCAAGCCCCTGAGGTCCCCCTGGGATCTTTTTGCATTCTTTGTTAATGTGATGCTATCAAGTTGCTTTTATGCAGTTCACCAGCCAATGCAATGTGTATATGATACGTGCTCCCAACCAGTTCAGCATACAAGCAAACTGAAGTGACAATAAGCAATGAATCAACAACCCTTTGCTGAAATGACAATAAACAATGAATTAGCAGCCCCTTGCTAGGGCTTCCTTGAATCTGTGACTCCTGTATCATTTGAATTCCTGCCCTACAAATGAAGCACCAGTCTGCTTCCATTGTCGATAAAATCAGAACTAGGAAACAGCCAATAGAGAGTGGCTGTACTTACCTAGTCATACACTTACTTGCTTGTGCTATGTTATGCACTGTTCAGTCACAAGAGCCCTAAAAAGAAATATAGTTGGCTGTGAAACAAGAACCAAATCCACAAGTACTTGTTCCAACATCTATTACAAGTTGCATCTGGTGGAAGGGTCTGTCTGTCAGGGATGCTTGGAAACACACTTGAAGATTGGGGTTTCAAACATATCTCAACAGAAATGTAAAACTTAAGCAAGTTGTACTCTCTGCTTATGCCATTCTCCTCCTCTCAGTGCTTGATTCTGAGAGGCACACAGTACCAAAACCTCACCATTTTTGCTTTAAACTTAGTCCAAATGAGGTAGCTCCTGGGCAGGCAGCTGTAGCTCCGCTATTTGCACATGAGCCCAACAGCCAGACAGCATCACTAACACACTTGCTGTGCTCTCTGCATGGGGCTAGGAGAAGAAACACCTTTTTTTGTCTTTGGAGATACCAGAGGTGCCATATCACCCACACACCTTTGCTGTGTTGTCTGTTTGAGATTTCGCACCAAAACTGACACAACACAGCAGACAAGACATCGCTGTGACCCTTAAAGAGGCTGGTCCCAGTTCTATACAGAAATATAAGTCATGACCCTTTTTGCTACTTGTGAAATTGGGAGACAAAGACATATGACAAAACGGGCTGCTGGAATTGTCATTATGTCTTTATTTAATAGAGAACTTTCTCATCCATTTTCTAAACAGGCAGTATTATTTCAAAAAACCAGAAACACAGTCATGACCAAAACGAAACGTAGAATAACTTAAATAAACATTTTTTTCTTTTGAAGGTGATTGAAGTATAGGATAAATAAAATGTATTATATTATTTTGGAATTTCTCCATAAGCAGTTCATATCTAACAGTTTCTCCATTAAGTATTCAGAAAATCAATATATATCAGCTAAACTACTCTGGCACTGACTGCATCTTTAGAGGAACAAGTTGGCTGGAAAAAATGAGATTTCACTGAAGAATAAACCTATAGAAATTAGGTTTCTTAATGTTTTTGCATCCTTAATCCTCTCCTCCTTAGGAAATACATTCTCTCCCTTCTCTCTTGAACTCAACCTACAGCAAATTGGTTTTACCTGAGCAGGGCTAGAAGCTGTTGGTGCCACTGCTTAGTTTAGCTAAGTGACCAGACAGCACTGGAAAACATTAGGGATCATCCACAAAACAAACATTAGCCTACTGAGGCTAAGCTCCTGAGAAACTCTTCTCAGAGCTCCTCTTTGCTCCTTTAGAGGAATGTATCCACTTTATTTACCCCAGAAGTAGCCCAGCATTAGCTTCAATCAGCTAAACCTAACATCCATGAACATCCACACACTGCTTGCACAAGGAGAGGCTTTTGCTATAGTGAAGATTCAAATCCAGGTCAACAGTCCAGAGGCTGTGATATCAATCATGCACAGAGGCTTATCACACAATTTCAATAGGTCCTGTCTTACCCCAGTGCTTAGATTGACTTGACACCTAGGGAGCCCATTGTACAGCACTGCACAGACCAGAAAAGCAAAATGTAGCTTCAACTCAGAGAACTCACAGCCCAGTATAATATAATAAATAGTGGTCCTTCCCCACAACAGAGCAAGACTGAAGCAGGTGGAGCTGTTTCCTCCCTTTGTGTCACATTCCAGCACAATCCCAACATCATAAAAGCATAGCTGTAGCTCATAATATTTAATATTAACTAGAAAGACAAAGAGAGTAAATTTTAGTTCACTGTATTAGACACTAGCTTTTTGTTTAAGAAACTGAGTTGAAAAAACGTTTTCCTTATGGTCTTTCTCATTAATACCTCTTGTCTACAAAATTACTACAAAACACTGCAACAATCTGCACTCTGCCTAAAATAGCTGAGCAGCTTTGATGATGATCTGCTCCACCCTAACCTGAAGATTAATTCAGTCAACCTTTATACTGTTTTTTTTTCAGAATGCCTTTGCTTTCTTGTCACTGAAATATTGTCAACTCTATTTCACCTCACATCTTGTTTAGTGTCTACCCTAAAATCTCAGTTCCTATAGGCAAGAGGCTAGAAGAAAATCTTAGTTTTGCTTTGTAGAGTTTCTAGGTCTCGCACCAAAAGGCTTGAAAACATGCATTGTATCAGCTTAAAGAAAGTAAATAAAAAATACTCCAAGGCACTTTTTAAACAAAATTCTCGTGACTTTTATGACAAGCTTATAATCTGAAGAGGTGAAGTTGGTGCCTGAGTCATGATTTCTAAGTCCTTGGGGTTCAAACGTAAGGGTTCCTCTTCACCTTCCTTTTTCTCTTCTGCTTTTCTACTCTTGTATTTGGTACGAGGAACGAAGATGCCCAAATTTCTGGTAGAAATCATCTTCAGCACGATTCAGAGCTTCCTCATCTATGTAGACAGCTGGTCTCCGGGAAGTCAAAAAGTACTGGACTTTCCGCAGGCTCCATCCCATCACGTACTTCAGCCACCCGCTGACAGCAGCTGTAGACCTGCCGACACCAGCATTGCAATGAACATAGACAGTGTGTCCATTCTCCAGCAGCCCGTGCAAGAGGCAGACAGCTTGTGGCAACATTTGTATTCTTCCTAAGGTTAAAAACAAGGCACGTTCATTTGCACTGGAGAAAGCTAGGTTCATGGCTGAGATTTTGTCTGTAGAGCCCCATGAACTGTGAATAATAATGGCAAACCTGATGTATTTGAGGTTTTTTCTTTTTTTTCTCAAATGACCTTCTACACTAACTTGTTCTTTTCTTGCAACATAGAATCAGATAACACAAAACTGTAAAATGCTCCAAGTCTTCTCTAAATATACATTCTGATTAACATTGGATGTGCATGGCATACTCATTTTCACAGGAACTGAGGCAAGGCAGCAAATTACATAGACCAGGACATCTTACATAGCCTTAAAGTTGGCAAGCCAAAAATGAAATGTTTTTTAGTACCAGAGGTTTGTGAAGCTACCTACATACTGCTGCTTTCCAAAACATTGTAATGAAGGCCATCAAGTCAATAGTGAGGGAGGGAAAGCAGAGGACTTAATACTGTTATGATTTTTTGCTGTACAACTTAATACTGTTATGATTTTTTGCTGTACAACTTAATACTGTTATGATTTAATTGTGCACTAAGCATACGGTTAAACAACACAGAACAGCCTTTCTCAGTCCCAAAGGGATGAATGTACTATATTTCCAGACACCTTTCTCCCTGCTATCCCAGGAATTGAAGCCGCAAACAGCAGAGCCCAACTTTTCCTCGTGGCACAGATGAGCATAGATGTTTAGCTCTTTCAAATCCCAGTTTTAAGGTCCCCTGTCTTCCCTGATGTCCTATTACTGAAATGACAGTTCTCTGTTTGAGGCAGTGGTATTTCACTGTGTTGAAAGCAGTCTCTTCTGCTGGTAGGTTGCTCACTCGAAAACACACTCACTTTCTAACCTTTTGGCTGGAAATAAGATTTTGAACTGAGTATTCCAACCAAGGACTTAAAAATACTAGTAATTTATGTTACAGCTCAGGTGCTATGAACATTCTAAGTTAATTAGAAATTATTATAAAATGTCTCTATGGAGATTATTGATTAGGCTGGGATACTACAGTTAAAGTAAAAATATTTGCTGGGGAAGGGAACAGCAGAGCACAGCTGTCTGACAGACAGCACTGTCTCTCCATTTTTAATCAGAAAGGGTGGCAAGCCATCCTGCTGTGCAAGCTTGCAGTCTTCCACCTACACAGTATATTTTCATTATATGGTCGGAATTCAAGCTGAAAGCAAAAACAGTCAAGCAGTTATTGATGTCGGACGGCTTTAAACTCAAATACATAATAATGCCAGACACAAAGTATTTTAGATGGCCTCTCTGCTTACGAGAAAATATGAATAATTTGTTAAAGACAGCACACAAATAAATTATAACTTGTGTGCTAAGTATATTTTTATGCAAAATTTACAAAGAAGAAAAAAACAAACTGTCATGAAAATGGCAGCTTAGTAACTAAAAGGGTTTGTTGCTACTAATTTACTGCAAGAGTGACCTAAACATTACCTTCAGTGCTCATGTCTGCAGTTGGCAGCCAGACATAGGCAAGACCTTCCTCTTTATACAGTTTCATGAGGATTTCAGGGCTCATGGGTTCTGGGTAGCGGTTGCAGCCCCAGGAATTCTGAACAATATCCCCTTCAGTCTGGAAGTTCATCACAGCCGTAACACCCAGCTCGTGCTTCAGCTTGATGGTCACATGCTCCAGCTGCCGAGGGCAACTTCCCAGCCAGATGTTTGGCAGAATCCTAGCATTGAGAAAATACTGCAGTGAGATTGATTAAAATATCTTAAAATGGAAACTGCCAAGTTCAGTGGTGTTCCAGTTCCAAACCTGCTTGACATCATCACACAAACACTGCTAAGCACAGCCTTTTCAGGTCATGCAGTAAGCAACTTCTCATTTCATTACAACTTCTTTTTTCATTGCTGTTGATTTGCTAATGTTTGAAGCTGGGGATCAAGTTCCTAACCTACCACAAACGGCCAAATGATTTGAGAAAAGAATTCAGAGCATAGTTAGTAGCACAGGTCTCCAAGGCATCCATCATTAAGCTTGCAGTAGAAGCTTAGTAACATCACAGATTAGAATTAGAAAACTCCGAAGATTCATGCAATTTGTACATACACACACACACAAAAAGAGACCTAAAGGAGTCACATGATCCAGATCTGAATTACTTTAGTAATAAATCAAACACATAAAACTCTTCCAACTTTGTAGGTACCACTATAAAAAGGAAAGTAGAAAAATAAAATCAATTTGAACTATCCTTCTGTAATGAAACTCAAAAATTAATCAGTAATTTTCTTCTAATTTTTCTCTGATCTTGTGGAGTCTAGTGGGAATCAAATGCAGAATTACAACATGTGTCTAGCTTCTCTCAAGGCCTGAAGAACCCCAAATTTTTCAAGAAAACTCAAGAGGTTTGTGTAGGATGGATAAACAACCATATTTTTGGTACTTATCTAAAACAAGCTTCAAGATTTCTGTGGTTTTCCCATTTAATTATCATAAAACTATTGTATGTCTCAACAGATTTTGACATTATAAACTGAATACTAAGAGCTTTTTAATCTGGTTAATAGGGTTTTAACTTGCACATGCAATTAAATTGATGGTGTCTACAAAAGATTATTTATATGCTCAAACTATTAGTGATCTCCTTTAATTTATTTTGCTTCCATAAACTTTGATTTTGAACACGCAACCCACAAACTACACAAAATATCCCTGCACCTGAACATGCAACTTTGCAAACATTATTAACTGCAAATCTGCAACAAAAGCAAGATCCTCAAACATAAAATGTCTTTCATGCATTTCTTATGGTCCTTTTCAATTTTAATCTCAGAAACAAATAAGGAAAGTTTTATGTTTATTCAGGAACCTATAAACCACCCTTCAATCAACAGGTAGCTATTTCCATTTCACTATCACAGCAATAAGTGCTTACTAGCATTTAATTAAGACCTGTAATTGACTCAAATTATTAAATACTGCTATATTAGTACTGAATATGGTCAAAAGAAAAAAATCAGATCCAGGAAGCACTAATTATTACTGTTTCCTGCATGTCAGCTGCATCCACAGTGAGTTGCATAGTAGCCACACAAATGCAGTCTTTGGCTTTAGCCCCTGTTTCAGTGGGACAACACACTTGATCTCAGCATATGGTAACTGAGACCAATTTAAACAAATATATTGCATAGCAAATAACCATTTCAACCCTGTTTCAACAGTGAGACTGTTTGAAGAGATTTGACTTAGTTGTTTCACATACATGTTCTGGTCTAGATTGCTTTGAGGGTACTTCCCACTGCTAATAGAAAATGCATTTGTTCGTAAGAAACAATAAATTCAATAAATCTGAAATTTCAAAAATTAAGATTTACATTCTTCATCACTTTTCTCACAGTCCTGAACACTACCTTTATAAAGGAGAGAAGACTTGGAAAGAAAGAAATCTTAATACACAGTCTTTCTTAAGCTACAAATTAAATTCAGATCATCTAATAAGAAATATCAGTACTCAGTCAGCAGTGGACTCCACAGCAGTCTGAAAGAAAGGAAATAAATACACAAATTGTATACTCCCATTATGTTCAAGGCACAATTCCACATACCGGTACAAGAAGGGAGCTTCTCAAAATTGCCCAAAATCCAGCACAACCAGTTCAAGCATTTCCACTGATCAGAGAGGGGTGAGCAGAGGTCCACTGCAACAACTGCTGTGCTGACCCACTTTCCACATGCCAGTCCCACAGCAAACCCCATCCTAACCTGAATGAGTGACCACTGTCAGGATTCTGCCGCAGGAATTCACCACAATGATTAGAGCATTTCAAGGTGGTGAATGGAAGTTAAAGTGCCCTAACAGATAGTGACAAATGGTTGGAGATGACCAATGCCCACAATACTTCATCACTGAGCAAGAAAAATGGTAGCATCATTAACATCTCATGACAATATGAGGATATCATTTCATGAACAAGAACATTAGTATCCTTCCTTCAAAGGCTTTTCTGGAGGCTCATATATATATGTAATTCAACTGATATTTTGGGAAACATCTAATATGCTAAATTACCTTGATAGGAGAGCAAAAGTGTGTTTTCTTGGATTTGATTGAATCAGGAGTGACTAAAGCATTTTTGAGATGAATAAAATTCTGGGTAGTACTCTTGCTTCCAGAAAAATCAAAGCTTTGTATTTTTTTTTACCCAATGATTATTTACAGGGTGAACATCACAGCTGTGCTATTTGCAAGACTCCTGGAATATACACTATTTGTTTATTTTGTTCTTGCAGCCTAACAGGTAAGACTCCTTTATTGCACAACAGTAATTGCATTTACCAAAAAACCTGATGAATTTACCAAGTTTTTATCCCTATCTTCCCTGTAATTAACTAAACTAGCAGCAGCCTTCAGAGACTGACCAAAAAAAATATTTAGGACAGCTAATTCTTATGAATTATTTTTATGATCAGGTTCTAGAGTTTAGCCTTTGAGAGGACCAAGATGTAGCCTTGACCTTGGTCTTCAAGGTCCTTATTTACCCACCTACAAATAACTGTAAAGTCTTGGTCTTGCTGAACAAGGCTTAGGCCTGACCATGCAGAAAACAGTAATGAAAAGCTGTCCTATCAGTCCATTTATGTAAAAGATAATCCTACTGCATGGTACCTATATTTCTATTTGGCTTTATCTGGTTCATACCTTACCTTTGTCTGACATCAGAAGGAAGGAATAAAAGGGTCAGTGCACATGTGAGTACAGAGATTGATGGAGAGTTTAGCAGCTATATTTTATATATATTTCCTGAAGGTGTAGCATGCAATTACAGCAACACATAACTTACAGTAAAACTTATTCTGCATTCCCAGAAGAGTAACATTTATAATTCAGTCAATTTACCCCCAGCATTTTGTGTTGCTTGTAGACATACAGAGGGGTTTTTTGTACCAATGTAATGTTATTACCCTGACACCACTACAAGCAAGCAGCCCAAAGGGAATGTAGGCCTGAAGTACAACTCAGTTAGAAATGTTTTTTGCAGCACTTGAACTACTAGAGACTCTTTCCAATTACAGCACATTCTTATTTCCTCCCCTGATGGCACTGGAGCAGGAACTCGTTCAGAATGAAAAATTATGACCTGTTTGTACCAAAAGCTTCATAGAAACTTTCAACTTTTAGCTGAATTTAAACTAGTTTTTAAGAGCAAATATCTGTTCTCTGTCTCATTTAACACACGCAAAAAGAGATTCCAAAAGTATTGCTTTGAGCATATTCAAAATGAGAATACAGGAAATCCTACCAGCTGTAGCTGAGATGCTCTTTCATCTTTTCTCTGCTCTCTGCCTTGTGACAAGGCACATCACTTTAAATGGGGATACCACTGGATTATGATGATCCAGAACTATCATCCTGCCTGTTCTCCTTCTTTTGCCAATGGCAAACAACATATAGCAGCTTATTCTTAGGTCTGTGTGCACCTTCCCTGAAATACCAAAGTATTTTCTAGGCCTTTCTTGTTCTTTTCTGCTGAACTTGTGACAGTGAAAATGCTAAGAGCACTTGCTAGAAAACAGAGAGGTTCCTGTACTTTTGTCAGAGAAATCTAGAAACATCACTTAGATTGCTGTGTAATGCCCTGAAATTTATTCAGAGAGAAGGATTTTCAAATCACCAAATTCTGCTCTCCAGTGGAAGATCTGAACACTTTCAAATATTGTTTGATATGTAGAAAGCACACTGATTATTATCCTTGCCTTCAGAAATACTTTTCTAATGTCCAATACAAATAGTGCAGGCACAAGTCATAGAGACACCTTCTTTTCTCCATAATGGACACAAAGAATAGATTATTCCCTTCCACTCTGCAAAATCCTTTTACTTCTCTTCAAGTTACTAACACACTCTGACACAGCTTTGTATTCTTCACACATACACATACATGCACACCCACTTGTTATATATTCAAAGCATCTGATCATTCTTGTTTGCCTTTGGCCTTTCTCTCTTTCTTAATATGTTATGCCCAGTACTGAAAGAGTACATTTCTGAGAAGACCCAAAGATTCTTACTTCTTATGCTTCAAAGGCTTTATCCCTCTTTATACTTCCCTGGCTGTCTTTCTACAGCATGTCATTGCTGACCTATATTCAACACGGAATTCGCTTTTCAAGTTAAGATCTCTCAAAACACATGAACCTACTCAAGGAGAGACCAAAGTTTGCCCCAAACAGAATTATTTAAGATTTTATCAGTTACAACTGCCAGTGGTGTCAAATAAAGCTAAATGAATATGCAGATGAGATTCACAGTTGATGAATGCATCTTAATAATATGTCTTGAAATAAATAATCTCACGTACACATCGTTGTGTTTTAAGTTAACTGTAATCAAATAGAAAGGGAACAAGTATATGCTTGCAGTGCTGCTAGGTGAAAATGTTGATTTATAAAGATTTCGAAGTGGTAATATGAGCCTATACAAAGTAGTGAACTGAAAGGAACAGAAAATTTATAGTAACCTTCCAAAAATCAGTGATCCCATCCTATGCACTCAAACTTTGAACTTTCTACTATTTTACTGCATAAAGATACAGAAAAATGAAAGCATTCAAAATACAGTACATTACAGATATTTTTTGTGAAAATACTTTCATATGAGGGCAGACTAAGAATTTAGCATTTTTAAGAGGGAATTAGACAACTGCTTAAAGATAAAACATGTGGGAG